ACTACAAACTTCAGCTTGGAGGCGATTAACTCCATCTATGCTGGCATGTTCTTCTAAAAAAAATAAACAAGCTTCTATCTTCTCTGTGCAAGGTAGTTTAGGAACCTGTATGAAAGTAACAGCAGAATCTGGAGGCAAGGTAGGTGATAGGAAATGTTATTAAGAGGGGCAGGAAGAACTCTGTCAAGATCATATAATTCAGCCTTCTGTACTGGCAAGATTTCTGCAGACTAAACCTCTCCCAGTAAAAGCCCAAGGAAAAGAAAGACTGAGTACATGGGTAAAGCTGTTGTAATGGTTAATTAATGAATTCAAGCTCCAAGAGGCAATAGCACTATTCTGTTCTATTTCCACACATACAACTTATTAGCCGCCTCAATCCCCGAAGCAACTCTAGGCAATGTACAAAACAATAAGGATTAAAAATGAAAATACAATAATATAAAACGGAAATCTATCTAACTGTGGAGGAACAACAATACCATAAAAACAGCCACCAACCAGCCACTTGCCTTCCTGGCTTGACTAAACAGGCCACTGAGACAACTGGGACTTGTCTCTCATCTTACAAAATAATGTATTGCAAAAATATTCCTGCATTTCAACACCACTAGAACCATAACATTGGTCACTGCTAAATTCAGCAAGTAAGCAAAACAATTCACCAAACATCAAAGGAGTCTATTTTATGTCACTCAAAATGCATGCTACAAGCCAACATTAGCTACAGCTGAATTTATTTTTCCCAAATAAAGGGAATGTTGCTACTTAAGTAGAAAGATCAATTGTCCTGGGATAGAATCCAAACAATGATTGATCTGAAAACAGAAGTGAGTTGACTGAAACAAAACAAACCCAGTTAAAATCAGGACCTCTTTGGGATGCGATCCTATTCTAAAGGCCAAGGCATGATCTGAAGACATACAGTGTAGCCTCCTTACTGCAGCTACATAGACACGGGCCTGGTCAGTGCCTAGAAAACACTCAGAACCCTTGAGCTCAATGATGGAAAAAGATGCAAGATATAAACATAATCAACAAATAAATATAATGTAAACTGAAGCAAAGTTGTAATCTCTGTGTCGCTAACAATTCCACTGAGAAACAGATAAAACACTGCATGGCAGCAACAAGGAGGCACGGCTATAACAAACTCCAGTGCTTTATTGATGTAAATAAAGGTTGTATACTCAGGATGATTACCTTTAAATCTCCTTGGCTATGTAAATGAACCTTCAGAAGCAATAAAGCATGGCGCAACTAGTCTTTTTATGGAGCTGAAGTTAAATGCTTGTGAACCACATCCAAATTGCTCAGAAATGCTATGTTCATTCCAGCGCCCATTGATGCTGAACACACAGGACGGGCTGGGACAACATTCGCCAACAGAATGTCTCTCCTCCTTTTCTTCTTCCCCCCATCCCAACCCCAGCAAAGCAATGACCTCCCTGTTCCAAGGATGATTTTTCCACTTCATATGAATAAATAGCAGCTGCTGGCCATTTTGGTTATGACTAGATATGGTGTGGTGTTGTGGTTAAGGTATTGGACTAGGAGCAGGGAGACCTGGGTTCAAGTCCACTCTTAGCCACTGAAGCTCCCTGGGTAACTGGGTCAATCACTCTCTTTCAGCCCAAGCTACTTCACAGGATTGTTGCTGTGGGGAAAAACAAAAGGGAGCAGCAGCACATATGCCACCTTTACCTCCTGAACAAAAGGCAGGTATTAATCCAATAAACAAATAAATGCATTTGTAAGCCTACCATTTACTTCAAGTTTTATTTGCTTATTGGAGCATTGTTCTTTTCTTCCCTTTTTTCATTATGGGGTGCTTATGGATATTCTTCTTGTGTACCAGGCCACAAGCCAGAACAATAGTGCCACCAACTTGATTATGAAAAGCAACTTTTTTTTCTTTTGCCAGCAGGATCTGTGCTACCACTGGAGGGTTCACGAATGGCAACGTGTTCATCTGTCAGTGTAATACCTCCATTCCCAAGGAACTCCAAAGTAGCCTGACATTTAAGGTGGCTTGTTCCTATCGCCAGGTTAGGGCAGGGTCTGGTAGCAGGCCGATGATTAGCCCCTGGGGCCTGATTGATACAGGAGGCTGAACGCTATCTACTGAAACAGGGTAGGAGTCATTACTTAATAATTAATAAAGGCCCCGCTATTGCTCTTCCACATGCATACAGTCAGAGCAGTCAAGGGCTGGGAGTAAGCTGTCTCCCACTTTTAACTGCTGTGGTTATTTAAAGGAATAATGCCATTCTTTTTCATTTGTCGGCTGGCCCACAATGGCCCTTGTCAGCCTTTATGATTTAGTGTTTCCTTTCCTTTCCCATTAAACACCATCCCCACCCACCCCCAAGTTCTCCAGCCACAGGCTGCTCTCAGACAGCTCTCCTACAAGACTTGCCTTGCTCTTTCCATAAGCACCTCTGAGGGCTAATTGCTTCTGTTCATTTAAACTTGTTTGTTAATTTGCTGTGGCCCTTTATTAAGTTGGATAGAGCCCAAATTACACTATAAATTATGTACACGAGGGAACAGGGTGTTGCATGGCTTGGCTGTTGCCTTCTTCTCCTCTTCCCACTCATCTAAGAAGTGGCAAATTTGGGCTCAGTACCGGAAACTACACAGGCAACAGATCTGGAGCTGGGATTCAGGTGGCCCCACATTATCCTATGTAAACTTGCTCTTACGCCTGTATCCATTAAGACCTCAGATGAAGCTGGGCTCCTTTTTCAAACCACCCCAGGGGTAGTTTCTTTGAGTGTTGGGCTGTTCAAAACCTCATGGCTCTGTGCTTCTTGCTGTTCCCAACCACCTGATGACATTACTTTGCTCACTGCCCACAGCTGCCTGATCTCTTTCTTCACCTTTTAATCATGATGGAATTCATTAATAATTGAAATAAACACACTCTCTCCCAGGCTGCAGTTTTATTAAGGCAAGGACAGGGATCTGCTGCAGTGATTTCCTAAATAACTGCTAGCAGTTAAAATGCAATTAATTTTTTTTTAAAGAGGACTTTTGCTGTGCTAGTGACAACTGAGAGGCTGTTTCAGGGCAGAGAATAGCTTGCGGGGGGGCCACTCTAGCTTTGTGTCCAAATGCTTAACCTCTCCTCTGCTTCCTCAGTTAGGAAGATATCCAAGAAAAGGATGCAGTTGTTTATAGGAGCCCCTACAAGTTAAGGTTAATGTGGATTTTACAAATCATTATGTTAGGTGTGCCTTATTAAGAATATCGAATAGATACAAACCCAGGTTGTGCCCGAAAACACCTTTGTGGCTCTAGTACAAGAAGCATTTTATAGATGAGAAATAATAGCCAAACACAAATGGCTAACTTACCATGAGATACTAGAATTTTGTCAAGGGGAATATAAAATAAAATGAAGAGAAGAATTGGTGGCAGAGGGATATAGTTCTCAATGGTTCTCTTATTTACAATTATTAGAAAGATTTAAAGTAGACAAGAGAATTTATGGTTTTGAACATTGTTAAGACTGAGTTTGAAATAGAATTGTGTACAAATTATGAACATGTAATTGCTAAAATGTATAAACTTTTATTGAAATTTGAAACAAAAAGAACAAGTGAAAGAATGTATGATAAAGTGGGCTAAAAATACAGATGGATCAATGGGAAAATGTGTGGTTGAAAGGATTGAAATTTACACTAATCTTAAAGAGAATTTTTATAAAATGATGTACCATTGATATATGTCACCAAAGAAATTGTCTAGAATGTATTAGGGCACTTCAAATTTATGTTGGAAATTTGAACAACAAGAAGGGACATTTTATCATGATTGGTGGACATGTAAAAAAGCTAGAAAATTCTGGATTCAAATACACACACTGATCCAGAGAATTGTAAAGATTAATATACAATTGAGAACAGAGGCCTTTCTTTTGGGATTGATGGACAAACAGTTGGAAAAAAGTCATGGCACTCCGTTTTTGTACATGGTAATTGCAGCGAGATTATTAGAAGCACAAAGATGGAAAGATTCGGCACTACCCACAATGGAGGAATGGTTGGTGAAGATGATGGAACTTGCTGAGATGGCCAAATTGACTTCTTTGATCAGAGAAAAGACAATATCTTTTGTTGTCTTTTATTTTATTTTATTTTATTTTATTTATTTATTTATTTAATCAATTTATTGTTGACTGGAAACCCCTTATGGACTTTTTGTATAAAACAAAAAAATGAACTTATGATTTATGGTTTTGATGATTAGACTGGATAAATTATAGAAAGAAGAGAGTTATGTTGTAACCATAGAGTAAGAGATAAATTTATAATTATACCTATAACTGCTGTAAAGAAGATTGGAATCTACTTTGTATCTTTTTTCTTTCTTTTCTGTTTTTCTTTTACTTTTTCCCCCTTTCTTGCACTTTCAGCTTTCTCTTTGATTTCTTTCTTTTTCTTACTTTATATTAGTTTATATTAGTTTTCATCTTCTTTCTTAAAAACATTTAATAAAAATTATATAAATATAAATATATGGAATCCATGAAAGGGGAACCTGGAGTGATATTAATTTCTGACCAAGGCCCCCAGGCAATATTGTTTTCCCAAAGACAGACTTTCTAACTTTTCAATGCCATCCCCAAAGCTTAAGCCAGGATGGAACTAATAAGAGCTCAAACGTATCCTGAAAGCATATCTGCCATGGAGAGTTGATATGTAATTCTCATCAACAGGCATGCTGGCAGGGTTGGCTGAAGATGGAATATCTTACTTTGGTGGATCTTTGGGGTTGAGAACGTAAGTTCATAAAAAGGGTATACAGGTGATGTAGTAAGAAAAACAATCCCCAATACATTCAAGAGTTTTACATTCTTCACCAGAATAGAAAATAAAGTAAGAGTGGCCTCGCTGGCTATAAAGGGAAGGTCCCCAGTTTAACAGATTTGGGGCTAAACTCCATATGCTTGTGGTGGGATAGGACAGGTCAGTGAGCAACGCTGCTGTCCTTACCTGATGTTCAGCTGTGTTAATTTCTCCAGCTCCTGCTCCATATGCTCCTGCAGCTCACCTGGGCGAAGCAAGACCTGACAAATAGGGCAGATAGGAGCCTGGCTGTCAAAGAGTGTTGCCTTCTTCTTGCCTGTATGGAAATGGAGAACATAGCTTTAACACTAACAAAACAAAAATAATCAACCCATCACAATCACAAAGTCCCACTTCTGAACTGAGGAAATGAAAAAGAATTTTGTAATACTCTGAATCATCTCTGAAATACATCACTGATCTAACATAGCAGAATTGAAATATGCAGGCAGCAGCTTAGTTTCCTACAGTTAAAAGCCTCTTCCAGACTGTTACTTTTCCTGCTCAAGAGCTGTTGCAGTAACAGTGTCCTGCAAATACAACAACTAACTTTAAAGCATGTTATTATAAACCCACAGAGAGCCACAAGGCCACTCCATCACCTCCATTGTTGTGTTAGTTGCTCTGGTCATCAGAGGGCGCTGCAAACACAGTTCAGAGGATTGTCCGGAAGGGAGAATACTTTATAGTTTCTTACTGACATCAAATGTGGAGCGCTCCTGCTGGATTATTTATTTATTTATGTATTAGATATGGATCAAATTGGTTAAATCTGAACGAGAAGCAATAATGCACCATAAAACAGATTGTGTGCAATGTGGCCTTCCAATCAAAAGCCCAAACATGTCACTTTATGGCCTCAAGCAAAAAAAGCAGAGCCCAGTTAAATGAATCCTTTGAAAGGAGTAGACTTTCCCCAAGGGAGAAAATGTTGGCACACACACTTTGCTTGGGTGACATAATAGGATGTAAAGAGAAGTGCTGTAAAGGAGGAAACAGCTTTTGTAAGATGCTTTAACAGGAGTAACAGGAAAATAAGTCTGGAAATAAGCTGCTTTTTGCCAACAATTATGCAATCAAGATGTTATACCTCCATGCATATTGTGGATCTTGAATTCAAGAGTCCTGGTTTTAGGTTTCTCCCCTTACTGTCAACCTACCTGCTATCTTTTGCTTTCCTATTGAAGAGAGGATCTAGGATTGCTGCTTCCCTGCCCCATAGCTGCAAAGAGGATTTGAATTACTGGAGTTCTTGGGAGAAGCAGGAAGACACCTTGGGTCAGGGTGAAGCACGGAGCAGGGAGGAAGCACCTTCCCCAGTTTTCCTTTTGTAATTCAAGCACTGCATTCCCTTTCAAAGCAAGGGGGGAGCAGAGAAAAGAGAGCTCCCTAAACTCAGATTCCTCCTCTCCCTCCATGCACACCTGCTCTACTCAGTAGGCCAGTATGTAACACATCTGAGGAAGACAAATGGCCTATCCTGCATGGCTCTCTGTGAGGCCCTCACACCCTCCAGAGTGTTTTCAATCACAGCCAGAGTGAAACAATCCACCCACTTTGACTGGGAAGGTGAACAGCCCCAGCTTCCTCTTGGAGCTTTTCCACTTTTGTGTGGTCAAGGTCCAAAATAACCTAAGAAAGTCCCCCACTGCTACTATATATAACCATAGTCCCCATTCGTGTAACAATGCTGGTGTCTGAGCTCTCCCTCCTAAAACAAACACACAGCCTTTAAGCAAACGGGAAATCCTGCTGGATCCCTGCTGCAGTCTGGAGGCCTGGACAGATAAACATGCAAGGCGATCTCAATGTCTCCTTCCCACAGCACTGCTAGGGCATGAAAAGCTTCTCTGGGTTGCTTCACTATCCATCACCACTAGATGCAATCGTGAGCTGCCACAGCACACATAAATAACTCAATTCTGTTTGGTTTTGATTAATTTCTGCTCCATCTTCTCCTGGTGGAAATCTTGTTTTTCTTGCTTTTAAAAATAATGTGTGTCCTAAAAAGGGGCAATTTGCCACTGAAACACACATGCACACACACAAAGACTTTTAAAAATAGAATAAACCCAATGTAAGCCAAGTAAGTATTTATGGTTTTACCAAAATGTACATTTATTTCCAACATGCTGATCATCAGATGGACAGCAGGGGGCACTATTAAAACAAAGCTAGTTACAATTAGTGAACTCTTAACTGGAATAGTACCCCATTAAAATGCCTGTCATTTGCCAACCTTAGATCTAAATAGACTTTAAGATCACTTAATTTATGTGACACAGAGAGGAAAAGATTGCAGTTAATTCAATGGAGGAAACAGGATCCATTTCAATATTATATCCCTAACGCTTCCATTCAGAAGGCTGCTGTAATAACAGTAGTACTAAAAGTCACCCACACCCAAAACATAATCAGCTCTGCATCAAGACACCTCACAAAGAAGCCATTGGGAATACTTTTCCACATCTCCCCAAATTATGTCTGCTCTGGTGAAAATGAGAAAAGCAGCTGAGAACGGGATGCCCGGCAACTAGGCCCACTGCCTGATCTGTGCCAAGTCTGAGTATACCATTGCACCAAGAGCTCCCACACCCCTCCATTTTAGCCACGGCTGCATCCTCCAAATGGTCCCTTTCAAGTTTTGTTTTTTGGGCAGCTGTGTTTGTGTTTGCTTGGCCTCCATGCCTGCCCTTCCTTTCCCTTTGGCCCCTTGTAACTCAGCAGGGTTCGTCTTCAGTGTTTACCCTCCTTGGCACTGCTGTCTGTCCCCTGCCGCCTTGGCTTGCTAATGCTGCAGAGATGAAAAGGGCCAGCCACGTCCCTCTCTTGTGCATGCAGACTTCCCTGGGCTCCAAAGAAATGTTTCCTTCTAAGGGTTTGAAACTAAATATTTCCTGTTCAAAAAGGGCAGGGGGAGAGAACATTGACACAGACATCACAAAATCAGTTCTGTGAAATGAAATATCTTCACACATCAGCCCTTGGTAGATCTGCACAACAGGAAAACGTACCTGCTATTCTCTCCTAGTAGCCTGTGAACTCAACAGCTTTATCACCTCCCCAGGAATTACCTCTGGGTATGTTCACACATTTAGGTTGAATAAGGATATTTGTAAGGTCCCCTCCCCAATGGTCTTTTTGTCCTTCTTGCTTCCGCAACCAACCAAAAATGTTGTGTAGATTCCAGAATTTCCCACACGATAAAACTGTTTCTTGCAAAAGGATAAAAGGAGGTATCCTAGCAATGCCCTGTGGGCAGTATATGCCAAAAGAATTTGAGTGGTCACAAGTACTTTTGCATTTCTATTGTGGGATATGATTTCTGAGAATTTAGCATGCAAATCTACTGCAAAAAATTGTAAAGGGCACATGAGACCTGTCCAGGGAATACATTTTCAGATTCAACTCAGCACTGAAAGAGTGGTGAGCAGCACCCTTCCCTCCCCCCCCCCCCCCCCCCACACAC